ATAGCAGTAGGGCGCTTAGAATAAGTAGACAGTCCTAGCTGTTCTGTTGTAGCCTTTTTTTCTCCCAACCAAGAAAACATACATTTTTCTGTTATATATCATTTTGGAGCTCATAAATTTGCTATAAACTGGCAAGTTCAGAATTTCAAGATTGGTGAGACCAGTCCTAGAAAATGGACCAGAAGTAAACCGACTAGGAAAAAATGTTTCCTAGAGAAAAAGTTTTTGTGACTATCCTAGTCGACTTGATAGTGGCACTTCACAAGCTTCTACAGATCTTGATAAAGCAGAAATGTTCTCAGAATTTTTTGTGAGTTGTTATCAGCAACCGTCTTTTATTACTAACACTGTTAACAGTGCACACATTTTTAATAATCAACGTGATTTAAATATGGTTTCATTTTCCATAATTGATGTAAACAATATGATAAAGAAGCTCAAAAATAAGAAATCAGTAAGAGTCGATCAAATCGACGTACAGTTTTTGAAGTTATGTGTTGATGTAATCTCGCCCCAATTGCACCATTTGTTTACTGTTTCTTTAAAATAAGGAGTGTTTCCGAAATTATGGAATATGACGCTAATAAAAGAAATTTATAAAAAGGGCGCTCGAAATTTGTGTTCAAATTATCGACCCAACTTCCTTTTATGTAACATCAGTAAAGTATTTGAGCTTCTTATCCATAAATGTTTGCTGCAGCACTTGCATGAAACAAATTTCTTTACGAACGTACACTCTAAAAAAAATGCGACTTAGGATCAAATTAAGTCGCATTAATGTGCCTTATTCTGTGAAAATAAGACACATTAATGCGACTTAATTTGATCCTAAGTCGCATTTTTTTTTAGAGTGTACAGGTTGGCTTTAGGTCTAGTTCTTTTACATATTACTATTGAGTTAAATAAAATTTTAGAAGAAAGAAAACTAACAGTAGGTGTTACTTTCGACTTCGCAAAAGCGTTCGACAGAGCGAATCATAGAATTGTATTGGAAAAACTGATAAAAGTAGGAATAAGTGGAACTTTGTTGGTTAGGTCGTACCTGTCTAATCGAGAGCAAGTTGTCGCGGTTAGAGATAAAGTCTCCAAGTCAGCAGCAGTTACGTCTGGAGTGCCACAAGGCAGTGTCCTAGGCCCACTTTTATTCTTAATATTTATAAATGATCTTATTTCAACGTTTCCGGCATCAGTGACAGCTTCTCTATTTGCAGCCGATGTTTTCGGCCTAGTGTCTGTGAAAAATTTCTCTGATCTGTCCGATGTACAAAACCTGCTAGACCTCATGTCAAGCTGGTACGCAACTAACGAGATAGATCTAACTATCGATAAATGTAGCTATATGCCCTTTTCGAATTCAGTTTTGCCCGAACGACTGGCGCCTCTTCTTTTGGCAGGGAATCAAAATAATATTAAGCTGCTAAGAGTATATCTTTCGCCGGATCTTACGTGGAAATACCATCTTGAAAATACTGCGCGACGGTATAGGCAAATGCTAGGTGTCATGAACCGAATGTTCAAATCTGTTCCATCTTTCATTCGACTTCATATATACAAAATGTGCATTTTACCTCTTATGGACTATTGCTGTATAGTGTTTGACAGTAACTATCTGACACATTTAAACCAGCTAACTTCTGTGTACAAGTTAGCTGCTCGTATAATATTAGGTGACTTCGTTTGTGATAGTTCTCTTCTCATTGCCAAATTACAGTTATCAGATCTTGTCACAAGACGAAAATTTTTCACGCTGACCTTATTTCACAAAATCGTTACCGGACGAAGTGCCCTTTCACGCTTTTCTCTAGTAAGTCCACTTACTACTCGAACATCTAATCGATGTCTTGGACAAGTGCCTACATATAAACGTAAAACTACTAGCTCAGTGTTCTTACCAAGAACGATAAAAGAATGGAATCAGTTATCGAGGAAGGTTATGGCCGCATTTAACGATCGAGCTTTTAAGCGTGCATTATCGAAACATCTTTTTTCTTGAAGAAGTGTCTCTTTTCCTTAATTAAGCCATATATGTTTTATGTTATATTCTTTTTCCTTTTTTTTGTTCGGTATGATGTAGACAAAGTTTCTCTTAAACTTTTATCATCACCAAGTCAGCTTAAAGATCATAGACTAAATATAATTACTACTACTACGACCTACTAGTCGAAAACTTCCAGTTTTTACTATTTCTTATACTAGTAAAGAAATACGTACATTTTTTTTGTCATATACCATTTTAAAGCTCGTCGACTTTTCTTCAAGGTAAGCTACGTATGAGATCTTGATCAGTAGGTTTAGGCTCCGTAGTTTTAGGCGTGGTATCACTTTTGCTGAGAGTCCCAAAACTTGTATTACGCGACCTCGGATAACCTCTAAAGTAAATGAAAACATAGGTTATCCAATATACTAATTCTCATGGCAATGGTTTTTTTTCAGGCGGCGGTGGGACAACCTAGCGATATTGAGTTTTAAGGAAAATCCACCGATTCAGTTATACAAAAGTAAAATACTCCAATCTCACTTGAAACCCAACCAAAGCGCTTGAAACTCTCAGATAATACTCCCTCCTTTTCCTTGACTTACATGTCGATAGAGTTAGAAAAGTAAAAACATCTACTTTCCTATTATTGGAATTATCAGCGGTTTTCTAGAAATCCATTGTAAGAGCATATATTTTAGAGTTGTTTCGGTATTCTAACTATTCACTCTACTTCTCTGCTCATATCCCGAGAGTTCCAGGCGAGTTTCGATATGAATCTTATTAGATTCTTATTGAATTCTTGCATAAGAAGTCCGCACGAAAGTGACAAGAATTTGATAAAAAGTAGATAAGAATCAGTTAAGAATCCTCTAATAATTCGACAAGAAAAGGGCAAGGACTGGCCAAAACCTCCAATGTTTTTTGTTTTCTTCTTTAGTTAGTTGTATAGTTCTTTAGTGAGCGTGTAAGAGGTCGCGAGGCATGCTCAATGCGATCAGTCTTACCTATCTTGAAGAAACTTTGAAAAAATTTTCAAGAAATCAGTGGTGCTTATATAATATGGACGTCTGCAAAATAAAACGTTGTCTGGCTTTTAGTAAGAATTCCATAAGGAAGTGTTAAGAAATGATAAAAGCGCCTTATCAAAGTTGTAGCTCATTCTTATTTAAATCTTATCGGATTCATACGAATTTCTTATGTAAGAATCCGATAAGATTCGGATAAAAAGATTGTTACCAGAAATAACGAAAAATGTTCATCCAAGTATTACTCTTTCCCTCGTCTTTTCGTTGTTAAACTTTTAAAAGGTGGCACAGTCTTAGCGTTTTCTGAAAGGTGGTTTATCTTGCTCGCATTCTTATTTTGACAAATGAGTCTGGCCACTTGCCGAATTCGGTTCGGATAGAATCTTTCAGTGTGCGAGTATGGTAAAAGCTCGATTCTTATCTGTCGACTCTATTTTTATGCTTGGCATTGGGAACTTGACACACGCGGTAACATTATCTGTTGAAGAGTGACATTATCGTTAGGCTCTTATGTAACGAGTATCGTCGAGTTTCCATGATAAGAGTAGTGGGGGAAGCTAATGAGTTACTAGCTACAACTAGGCATGCACCAGTTTTGGTTAATTGAAACCGATCATAACCGAAAATGTTGCACAAGTTCTTGAAAATACGTGTGATAGAATATGAAAGAAACATCTGTTGTTCAATCAACAACTGTTCATCTCGGAAGAAAGATGCACGGTGTACAAAATCACAAATAAGTCAAATAAGTGGTATTTCTGACTCTTCGCCGTGAAGGAAGAGTTTCCCAAAATTAAGTTTAGCAACAAAAGTATGGCCAATTTAATTTTCTAGATTTTATCGGCTGGTCGTACCTTTATACATATGATTGAACAACAGATGCTTCTTTCATATTCTATCACACGTATTTTCAAGAACTTGTGCAATATTTTCGGTTATGATCGATTTCGGTTAATCGGTTAAAAACCGAAATCGGTGCATACCTAGCTATAAGAATAACTGCTAACTATTATTACTTTTAGCTGTGTAATGTACGGTGTATAAGTAATGAGACAAATGTCGAGGTGAGGCGTTTTTTCCCAGAATGAGTTAGAGACTTCATTCTTTCGTCATTAGAAAGAGCGAAGTAGGGATGTAATCGGCATCAAAAATGCGACACCGGTACCGGTCACCGGTATACAAACTTCGCACCGGTGACCGGTCGGAACCGGCTTGTCTTGATCATATTTTGTCTAAATACAAATACTTTTTCCTTGTTTTTCTTTACTGTGAACGTCATTTTACGTTATCAAAGGGATAGATTAATCTTTCTACTCTGATTATGTATAGCTGATTTTTCACACGCTTTTTTTTTACGAAAACAGCAATCCAGTTCAATCTTTTAAATTAAGAAGTTTATATAAGCCGAGAAAACTTTAATAATTGGAATGAAATTTTAGTGGAATAAATATGTCACAGATGAACTGAATTTACACGATATTTTTGGAAAAAAATCGTATCATACCGCAAAATACCAGCAATATCGGCCGACCGATTATACTTGATACTAATGCCGGCGCTATGATTCGTATGGGTACCGGTATACCGATATCGGATACATCTCTAAGCGAAGTCTCAGCTTCAAAATGCGTGTTTTGGAAAAACGTTTGGATAAAGTTAAGCTAATTACATTTAAATCTTAAAAGAATCGCCAAAAATGGCTTGTAACAGTTCAACCTTTTTGCGTGCTTTTCTTCTTTAAAACTACCGTATTACCGTCATATACCGAGGTGAAGAGCTGAAAGTTTCAGAGAATATAGAGTAAAGTGTTAAGACCTGATGCTCTGGTCGTATTTTGCACCTGTCCCCGACTTCCAAAAACTTAGCGCAGATCCAGTGTGAGTCCAGCTCACTTAAAATTGTCTTGTAACAAGCCGTGTTTGGCGGTTCATTTAAATTTAAATTTAATTAACTTAAATTTAAAAAGAAACTTTATCTAAATTTTAGATTTGCTTAAAATGGAAACAGATGATAATAATTCTGATATTCGACACTTATTATTAACATATTGGCCTCACATATTTCAATCGTCTTCAAATGATCTTTTGATTAGTTTAATTTCTCAACCAGGAAGTGTTAATACAAACTGGCGAATATGTTTACCATCTACTACCACCAGCTATGTTCTTAAACGATTAAAACATGAACAAAATCCTCAATATGAACTTAATTATTTGATTGATTTTCAAAAATATCTTGACACATCATTTCAAGTACCACAGCCAGTTCCTTTATCATCATCACAAGCAATATTTATTGAATATAATAATCATTTTTATTGGTTATATGAACATATTAATGGTATAATTCATAAGACTGATTTTAATGAAAAACAATTGTTATCACTAGCCACTTGTTTATCAAAATATCATCGTTTTTTAATCACCCATGATCCACCTCTTCACAAAACAGAACAATCACATAGACGACAAGAATTATTAGATGAATTAGTAACATCAGTGAAAATGATAACATCAGAAAAACAACAACAATCTGAAACACTAGAAATTGATTTAGTTGAAGACTATATTTTCGACTGTTATCCTCAGTTATCAAAATTAATTAAAGAATCATTAAGAAAACATCAAACAGTAACTACAACAAATAGATCATATCCAATACATCGTGATATACGTCCAGGCAATGTTGTTTGGAATGATAATAATAACGTTGTTGGTTTATTAGATTTTGAAAATGTAGATGCAAATGTATGTAATACATTATGGAGTGATTTAGCAATATGTTTATTAACATTTTGTTGTTCTGATGATGATCAATCACAATCAGATATGATTAAAATTCAAATATTATTAGATGAATATTTAAAACAAGTTTTTAATGGTCTATCAATTCCTACATCCACAAAACATGAATTTATTAATTTAATATTAGATGAAATGATTCTGTGTTCAATTGAAGATTATTTATTTTTATATTGGCAGTATAGAAATGAAAGAGAAAAATTTCAAGGTTTAAATGAAATGAAATTATATTATAAACGTAGTATATGGCATTATGAGAATAAATCAAAATTTTATTAACTTTTCAACATTCTTCGTATTTTAATAAAACATTGTTCTTCTTGAAAGTAATTTGAAGTAGTTTACATCCTCAAAGCATGAAACAGATTTAAGAAACTTTTTTAATCCACTCTGTGATTTACGAAAGATCGGTGAAATAATCGAGCATGATTAGAAAAGTCTATAATATGTTCAAATAATAGAATTTTCTCTGTTCTATCTCATTCGGTTCTACATTTAAAATTAATCCTATAAAACCAAGTTTTTAGACCTTTGATAAATGAAAAAAATATATTATATGCGTTTGTTAATTAGCATTAAAAGTGCATTTTCGTCTCGTGCTCAGCTACGATATTGAGAGCCCTGCGTCTCAAAAAGTAAAATGTACTCTTTACCAAAAAAAAAAAAGGCTACACATAGAGTAGAACTCATGTACTTCAAACTGGAATAAAAGCGAAGAGTGATCTATTCTAGTTAATTTTATTTTAATTTCTCAAGTTGGCAGAATATAGAGTAATTTTATAGTGAGTTGCAATAAACATTTCAATAAAAACATAAAATTTGTTCTTTTCTTATTTTATCGCATAGTCTATTTAATAGACTTCGTTGACGTGCGTATATAACAAAAGCGAAAACTGGTAAGATCAAAAGGAGAGAAAATTGAAAGTAGGTATGCACCGAAAAGCTCTCAAACATTTTTATTTAAAGTTTTAAAATGGTGTAAAGTGTAAGTGAGCACATAACATCGATTCACTACTGTCAAAGAAACATCTGAATTCATCTGTACTGGTTTTGGCCAACCGATAGTCAAAAAGCTAAAACCGTTAAAATCAGAAAAAAGTACACACAAATCTACATCTTGACTCAATAAACGAATTTAATATCTGATATTTGCCCCTTGGTGAATGGAGTATGCCATATGTTTCTTCTTCTGATCATCTGTGTTATGCCCTGCAATTTCTCGAGTTACATATACTTATCGAGACAGAAAATTTCACAATAATACTAACGAGGGGACCTCTCCAGATGTCCAATGTCGACTTCAATGATCTTTTGCCTATAGATACAATATAGTGTCCTACCATCTATGAAAATTTCTTGAATGCGTCAATGTTTGGGGGATTTTTTCGATGTCGATTTAAATCGAATATCAATTTTTTCGTGCCGGTAATTCGATTTGAAAACCGAAACCGGTACATACCTAATTGATAGCGGTACATTTGATCTCTACAGTTTAACTATATATTTGTTTTTCTTTGCTCATATACTGTAGAATTGCCATTTGCGCAGGTACCAGAGTTTCATGCGTGAGTTTTTTGCAAATAAATCGATCGCATAGATCAGACATTTCTGAATAATGTGAGGATCCTGAACTCATTTTTCCACATTTTTCTGTTCATTTTGTTGGTTTCTACGGTCTGCAGCCATTCGTAAATTGCATACAGTTTGCTGAAAAAGGTTGGAAAGAGCTGGAAGACGTCTCATTTTGTTCAGACTCGAAAATATCAGATTTTGAAACGAGTAGTATTCCTCTTTCTGAAACATTTTAAAATTATTTATAAAATCAGGAGATTTGAAAAGTGTTGCTCGACTAAGACTTTGAAACATGAAAACAAGTGAAATGATCAGTGACGCGCAAAACAATTTCTTGTTTTCGTCGTTCTGACAATTAACAATGAGAAAAGCTCTCCAACTTATTCAAAATCAATTAAAATAACTTAAAACGATATATAGTTAGGCAAAATTGTGTGGGAATAACGAGTATAAATATTACAGCTATATACAAAAAAATCACTTTTGATCAGACAGTGAAAATATCTCCTGTAGTTCTGGTTTAATACGGATCGAACTTTTCCATCTTCTAAACCAAGTATATAAACCAACAAGTGTATAAATACTTGACACAATCCATGCAAGTAATAAATTAATGTCCAATGGTGTTTGTAACAAACCTAAAAAGTTCAAAAAAAGTAATGCCATAAAACAATGGATGAAAAAGAATATTTACCGCTGTACATTATAATATTCATTACATTAACAGCTAACCATAGAATATATTGCTCCCAATACCGAAATATAACTAAAACTTGTGCAACAACACTCAATGAATTTGTTAGAGCATCTAATATATGAGGTGTAATCATCGTTTCAAAAATATATTGCTTAGTTATTAATTTACTGAACGCAGGTATTTCCCAGTAGAACATGGGTGCTAATGCTGCACATAATATAATAACAAAAATCCATTTTAATATGGATAATGCATGAACACGTATTGTTAACTCAGAATCTAATTGATTCGACCATAAATAAGCACCAATTAGTTGCATTGGTAAAAAAACCATAATGTTTAGTTGTGCATCTCCAACATAACCATAGGCAAATGCAAAAACACCATATATAATAGCTGCTATTACACCCCACATATAAGATGATAATTTCCCTTTTATAACAAGTACAATATAAAGTGCATTGAGGAATGATGCAAGACCACTTAACGAAAGTAATATACGTCTCCATAATTCTCTGCCATCATTTAGATCATTTGTCCATTTAAATAATGATCGATTAGTTTGTTTGTTTATAAGGGAATTGAAATCCTGAATAAGAAGTTTTTATGTTATTGTGAACATTTCATAAAAAAAAGCAAAAAGCTTCATCAAGGTTATTAAAATAGAAATATTTACCAGTTCACAAAAGAAAGTTTGTTGATGACTGAAATCGCAAGTGTCGATCTATTATGAGAGCTGGCTGAGAAATGTTTGTTTTCCCGTCAAGCAAAATACCGTAATATTGTCTTTTTATCTGTGCATCGAGTTTCCCGGTTTGTTTTGTATCTTCTTCAACGCATAGAGCCTGAAACATTTTTGTTTGTAAAAAGGAGCTGAAAATCCTTTAGGTTACCTGAAAGAATTAGTCGCACGAAATGAGTCTAAGAAAATGAATTCTACATAATTCTTTAGCCTTTAAACGGAATTTGAATGGCATCGATATACATAAAAAGTTTAAAATACCTAATTTTGCTTATCGGATCTATCTGGAACATTTCCAAGATTGAATAAATATAGGTTGACGAAAAGAAAATTTCAAAACTATTCAAAATCAATATTCTTCTGAAAGAAAATGTGTCAGACAGATTCGTTAACAAAACTAAACATTTCTTAGCACAAAATTTATCACGTTTACTACGGAATTACATAAAAAATCCTTGAATTTGGAGAAGGCACAAAACAAACCGAGAAACTCGATGAACAGTGGATACAAATACACAATATTAGCGGTATTTTGTTCCACGGAAAAATAAACATTTCTTATCTCTCGTAATAGATGGACACTTGCGATTTCAAGCATCAACACACTTCCTTGTGCGTCTTAGTGGATCAAGCCATGATTAGTGAAATAATATCTTTTTTCTCCCTAACTTTAGCGGGATTAACAATTTTAATCACTTCCCTCCATAAAGTAAGCCAGTGCAGCGATCAAAAATGCGGAATACTTTGAATTTTCTTTAAAAATGTGCCATATTAACTATCTCTTCTACGTGAAATTATCAAAACCTTGATATACGCCGAAAACAGAGATTCAGCATTGTGTGAAGTTCGCTCTGAGTCTTGTTGTAAAAGTGAACAACATGAATGTCAAAACTATTTACCTGTCTTTTTATAACACGTATGATAACAACTTTCTAAATCTGCTTTTAATTACTCTCATAAATACGAAAATGTATGTTAGATTTCTGGTACGAAAATCGTTTATTCCTGCCTGTCGTTAACAATACATTTAATTCAAATACATGAACGGTTTACATACCAAAATTGAAAAGACAACATTGAATGAACCATATAATAATAACAGCAATGCTTGCCACCATGTAAATGACCTGAAATCCGGTATTATTGATCGTATTATTAATTTTATAATTGACACATATTCATAAAAGAACTTTTTGAATCGGTTCTGGTTTGTGTCTCCTGACGATAGCGTGACTGACGTTGCACTATCTGCACTGGTCTTACAAACCTGCGTTTTGCCGTTTTCGACAATGTATTCATATTGATTTACATGAGCATTCGGTGCTAAATCGAGACTAATACTCGTTGATCCACTAATACTCGTTGCTTCCGTAATACTCGTTGATCCACTAATACTAGCTAATTCAACTGCCGCTGAACTCATCTTTTCCCAAGTAATTCACTAAGTGAAAGACAACGAAAACAAGATGAACATATTTTGCGCATAATTTTAAAATTACATATTAAACTTCAGCATCAATTTCAAATCAACACGAACTACTAAAAGAAATGTGATACCAACTGTCCCTTATGCTTTGTTTCTTCGTTTCTTACATCAAAAGTGCAAAAAATTATTTTACCGATAAGAAAAGAAAACAAATATCACGAAAAGAACCGAATATTTCTCTATTTTTCCTGTGATATTTACACTCGTATTACTATAACGAAGGTTACTGTATTAGCAGTTTAGCTTTTAATTTTATCTATTTACCAATAAGTCGATACATTTTTGCAAAAAAATTCGAACCTTATTGAACCTACAAGAGATATTTTCACTGTCTGATCAAAAATGACTTTTTGTATATAGCTGTATACTCATTATTCCCACATAATTTTGACTAACTACATGTTGTTTTAAGTCATTTTAATTGATTTTGAATGAGATGGAGAGCTGTTCTCATTGCTAATTGACAGGAGGACGAAAACAAAGAATTGTTTTGCGCGTCACTGATCATTTCACTTGTTTTCATTCAAAGTCTCAGTAAAATGACACTTTTCAAAACTCTTGATTTTATAAATAATTTTAAAATGTTTCAGAAAGAGGAATATTACGCGTTTCGAAATCTGATGTTTTCGAGTCTCAACAAAATGAGACGTCTTCCAGCTCTTTCCGACCCTTTTAGCGAACTATGTGCTCCGAATGGCTCCAGACCGTGAAAAGCAACAAAATGAATAAGGAAACATGGAACAATGAGTTCGGGATCCTAACGTTATCCAGTAGTTTCAAAGCACTTTCGCCATCAGGTAACGGTCACACGACGAAAGTTGTTTTCCAGTGACAAAAATTCACCCTGCACGTGACAAAAGTTTAACCATGTTTGAATAGTGGTTACGAAAGTTAACCGGTTATGTGACGAAAGTTCGTTTTCGGTTGTGACGAAAATATCTGGTTTTCTAGACAGATCGCACGATGTCACACGTTGTATGAAATGACTGCGATGAAATCAAGGTTGTAGTGCAAAGTTCATTAGTCCAAAGTGTAGGAATGTAAACTGCAGCAGTGCAAACTGGAGTAATAACTTTCTTTACAAACATTGCATTCTTAGCGAACAGGTAAAAAGCCCTTCTGAAGTCTTTTTCTAAAGTCAAAATATCAAAATGTGTCTATTGTGTTTGAGAGTAGTCCACACTGCAGCAGTCCATATTGGAGTAGTCCACATGTAAGCAGTTCTATGTTATTAGTGTGATGACACTTCGTGATAGGGTGTGACGAATGATAGTTGTAGATATGTTACACAGTTGGTTACGAAAGTTCACCACTCTTGTGACCGAAGTGTGGGATGGTATTCCCCTAAAAACGCTATACACTTTCGTCACGTGTGACGAAAGTTCTTTTTTTTATGTGACGAAAATTAACATGACGAAAGTGCTATCACCCATTCAGAAATGTCTGGTCTATGCGACCGAGTTATTTGCAAAAAAACTGACTGATCGAAGTCTGGTATCTGCTTCTGTAAGATCCATTTTTTTTCCAGACAATCTGTTTATGGTAACTCCGAAATAATCCTCCTACATCCATCTTCAGATAGGAAACTCGGTTTCATATACTCTGTTCTTTAGATTTGTTGCAGACGAATATTGTCGTTGCAGGATCAGTGTTCTCATATTTCAGAAACATTTTAACGAATTGTTTCAAAAACAATTTATTTTGTACATTGTCTTTTCATCCTTTTCTTTTCTTTTTTCTCGGTTCAGCTCATCGCGTATATCTAGTGGCTTCTCTTTTCTCATCTTTCTCTCTATCTTTTCCACAGTTCATGACCTTCTGTTTCGTTCCACTGCTTCTCTACTTTCCACTGTACATTTTTAGTGAACTCTTTATGAACTGTTGACATGGTTCACTGCTTCTACCTATTTTCACATTTGTACAGTCATATTATAATCACTTTGTGTTAGAAATAAACTCAACAACGGTCAATTTCCATTACACACCTGACTCGAGTGAATCGAATTAATTTACTTGGTTTTATCCCATTAGGTTCAATGGCAACACAAGTCAAAACTTGGTCCAAATGCAGCAGCTGGTCAACTACTTTTTCCATCGAATTTTAATTTCAAGCTACCAACCGAAATTGCAACGCCCCAAACTCTTAAATACTACGGTATAGTGTGTAGGATATGCTAACTTTCTACGCTCGTTTTTTGATACTGAGTTGAAGGCTAATGAGATGTCGTGACTCAGCGGCACAAACGTTTTTCTCAGCCTTGCAGTTTCAAAACTGCCTTTTTATGTGGGACGATGGTGTCCTGACATGTGGAGACAAGAGATTAAAATGTGAACAATTCAATTTTGTATATTTTACTTTTTACACTCCAGTTTCAAAAACTCTTTCTTCCGTGAAAAAAATGCAATACAGAGTTTTGAAAAAAAGTTTTTTTCTTAGTCTTGCATTTTTGCCAGGGAAAAGAAAGTTTTTGAAACTCAACTCTAGAGAACGAAACACTAGCTTCCGAGCAACAGTCGAAGCGCCATCTGAAATCGGCAATGGAATGAGATAAATTCCATTGATTTTGAAAATTCATTGATTTTTCAAATCTTCAAAAACGAGAATCCAAAACATGAGAAAAGTGAGAGAAACACTCTTTTCTCATTCATTTTCAAAGGCACCCATCAAAAAAGAAATGTAAAAGTTTCCAAGTTCAAAAGCTTAAATTCATTTTCTTCCTACTTCTGGACTCTACCGGCATAAATCCACATTGGGCACTGAGAGAACATTTGAACTATGCCAATATTCGTTGTGCGGAAAACGGAACACCATTTCCCAAAGTTTTTTGCGCGCCTCAATTCTCCGGATCGTGTGGCCAACTTTTTGCAAAAAAACTTTGCTAAAGGAAAACGCGGTTTTTATGAGTGACCATTACAGAATGTCTTTGACAAATATCTATCTTTTGTATTGAGAGCAGATTTTTCTTGCCGACGATCGCAGAAAAAATTGTCAAGATCTTGCTTTCTTGCTATCCAAAAATGTGGATCAAATTTAATTTTACCTTCACGGAATTTCTTCTCCTTTCCAAATTAAAGGTTGTAAATTTGCAAACAATACCGAAGTGAGAGTATCACTATTACAACGACACGGTACATTTGATGTTAAATATCAAGCAAATTATCTACCTGGATTTGTTCTGGCACAGAATGGTCCTGGTCTTGAACGACATCAATTTTCACATTTAGATTGTCCACATGAACATTTCTTAAGAAGTGGAAAATTTATTTTAGGGAAATTTGTTGATAAGGCAGAAACTGAATTACATCTCACTGCCTTCATTATACCATGTAAACATACTCTACATATACCACCGAAGATAATCCATTCAAATGATTATCTTCAAGGAACATGGAGGACCATGTTAGGTAGAGATGATGTTGATCGTGTCATACTGACTCGACAGACTTCAAATGGAAATCTGACAGAAAGGTTTATGTTTGATTTTCCTGGTAAGTGCATGAGTTTCACATATCTAACCTTTTAAATTTAGATTAGCATGCCGTTGAGGACTGGCTATAACGTGATGCTATCGATGAACTGCCCTTTTTCAAAGGATTTGTCGAACTGAATTTGCTGAAATATTTTAATATCTTGATTGTTTTTTAACCCGCTGGGAAATTGCGAGGTCTTATGAAAAAAATCAGTAGTTATCCCCAGATCGAGAACAGAGAATAACTCAAAGTGATGATACGCAGAAAAGTGTGTTAGCGTTTTTTTAGAAGTTGCAAAAAAGCGGTTTTCCTCTTTCGAATAGGACAGTTAGCAAACTTTGTTCTAACAGTCTGTTAACCGAAAACCCACTTGTTGATTTAAAGGTGATTTAAACTTTATTTATTTAAGTGAGTTCAACCGTATAAAAGTACATTATAACTCTCACTAGAAATAAAGAACACAGAGAAGAAAAAAAAAAGAAATACAGCTGACTATACACGAACCCACTTGTTCGTGTATAGTCAACTCAGGTTTCTAAATTGGTTCACCTTCATCGTGGAGAAGTTAATTCAAAACGATCGGTTTTCCCTACCATGTTCAGGAGCCGGCCGATAAGAGCTTGAAGCTTTCGCATTCATGACGGCATTGCTTGTTTGTCGACGCAGCGTGCCGGACTTGAGCAAAAGTCTTGAGCTTCAATTCACTATGCGCTTGCTTTCTCTATTACTAGATATATGACTCCCAGATCCGTCTACACCAATGACTGCCAACCTATCTGCACTCTCAACAGCAAATCCTCTCTTATCACCACCACCGAATTCAAACACCAGGAATTAATGATTTAAAAGTGTACACAATTGTCTGAATTATTTTTATTAACCAAGACTAATAGCTAAAAGGTCGTTTCAAGCTTTTTAAATAATAAACTATTACTCAAGGCTTTATCACGGGGTCTTGACGCATTTTCCCCTTGCCATCGGCCTCTTATAGGTTACGAACGAACTTTTTGTTGGTCGTTGCAAACTATGGTTCATCATAGTAGGTTCTGTGTTTAGGAAACTCCAATTTTTCAGTGCTTTTGAAGTACTAGGTGCGCACACAGTTTTAATTAAAAAATTAAATTACACTTACTTCAAACTCACCGAAGTTGAAAGCTAGAGCGATCGAAAGAGAGTCTGCCTGTTTAGACGTTGCTAACAGTGAAAAGAAAGGAGAATCTACCAAGCCTATAAAACAAGTGCGTCTATCGAACTGTTAAAACATCTGAGCATTTATAATTATGATGGAACAGTTAGACATTTTGCAGCACCATCAGACTGATTTTGGAGTACAATTGTAATTCCGTTTCTGAACTGTGTTGTAGTCATAACTTGCCATCTAATATATAACTGGAACTCTCCGAGAGCCCAGGCTGGGAGAGGAATTTTCTTTTGACTAGCCAAAGTCTGCAGGTAATCTGCGATTAATGGATATGGGAATCTATATGAACTAAGATAATAATTTTCACGAAAGAATGTATAGAATGGCATATAATTGTTCCCATTGATAGTTGCTGTTATCATTGAATTGATATTGTACAGGTAATCTCTTAGTTCTCCCAGATGTTGTTCAACATTCATATCATGGTAATGATCATTTTTGTTAGTATGGAGCTATTCGATTAATTGAAATTGTACAGAATTATTGTCCGCACAGTATGATTAGTAGACCCGACCTGTACATAAAAAGCATATGTGAACTCTGGTTAGACAACTTCGATTGCTATATACATGAAAACCGGAAGAATTTAATCTGGCAAATGATTTTAACTACGGTCTTCTCCTTTCAAGAACCACTATCCGAGAAAGTCAGGGGCAGTACCACGCCGACCTATATAGTGATGATGCCAGATCGGGATGAAACTTTTATTACGACTTCAACTTGAGGGTATGAAAAACGTTTTAGCCGTCGGAAGTGCTCTCTTCCAGAGTTATAAGTGTCGCAAATGAAGACTGTTGAATATGGGAAAAACGTGTTGTCTTCAAAATCTTTGTTAACTCTGAACAAAATGAGGATAGCAGTTGATATTTTTAGGGCATAGAGATCAATGTAACAACTATCTTAGAAAAAAATTCCAGCTTTCTGCAATCTACTATGTCTGAGATAATGAATATTATTAATAACATCACATTTTTCCCATATTCAACAGTCTTCATTTGCGACACTTATAACTCTGGTAGAGAGCACTTCCGACGGCTAAAACGTTTTTCATACCCTCAAGTTGAAGTCGTAATAAAAGTTTC